TTCACCATTGATTGAGACATTGAGATTGAAGAAGTTCTCTAGGCTGGGAACACATTCCGTACAATTTATTAATTAATAAATAAAATTTCTAAATAGAAAGAGTCTAAAAAAATGCAATCATTCTATAATATTAGTATTAGTAAATAAAATGAAAATTATAGATATCCCCACCCCCTAAAAAGAAAAAAAACTTTTGATACCATACTATTAACCCCAATACTATTTATTTTTTTTCCAACTAGCCCCACAAGCAAAGAAAGTTTATTTTATTTTATTGGACCAAGGTATTCCCCCCCCCCAAAAAAAAAGGGTTTTATACTGTATTTCCAAGATGTGAAGCCCAACATGCGCGGGTTTGGTACAAAAATGTGTCGGACTGGCTTTTGATAATCAAATTCTATCGGTCCAGGACAAAATGAGTCCAACCGGCATATATTGAAATTATGACGGTGGCTTCTATATTCAAGTTGTGCTGGATTGGCTTAGAAGAGAGTGGGAAATGTGGGTTATTATGAGGGTATTTTGTCTGAAAAAGTGAATTTTTTTTCTTTGGGGTGTGGATGCAAAAATAAACAGTGGGGGTTAATAGTGTGGTATTAAAAGCATTTGGGGGTGGCATGCTTAGAAAGTCAAATTTTTTTTTTGGGGGGATCGATAATTTTCCATAAATAAAAATATGAAAAATAGAAATTATATAAAAATTAAAAAGTGCAATCACTAATTTATTATCATTCAATTATATTATGATGGGGCACACAGTGATGCATGTATAGCACTATGATGTAGTTTGTGGGTTTATACAATCATGTGACCATCAGAGCCTTATCCCCAACTATTTAGAGTCGGCTTTAAGAATCATGATCCGCCATTTTGCTCTATCGGGGGCCATACCCTTAGTAAGACCATAAGCGCTTACTGGGAACGTCCTAGCATGACTAGATATCGTAGAGCCAGGATTCATGAAAAGTTGCGGCAAAGTTTTACGTTGGTTGCTCACTAACACAACCCTCCTCCTTTACCCCGGGTTTCGATCAGCATTGGGGTCCAGCCAAGGCGAGCTATAGTTTCTCACTAAAAGAAAAAAAAAAATTATTGGAGAATAATCAATTTGACTATGATACCAAAATACAAAGAGAAGTAAGAACATGTAGTGGCCTATGATCAGGTACAAAAAGTGCCTATCGATTTGAAAGGAAAATACCACAGCCATCAAATAGAATCCAACCTTGAGATGCTGGTAGGGATTCAATTGTGTAATTACCATGTCAGCCCAGCATCCCGGGATTGGATAGAATTAAACAGTTGTTGGATTTTGAATAGACAAAAGAGGGGGATACTTTTCCTATGCAATCACTCCTATCCAATCAGGAGCGAAAAGGGCATCCATTCGGGTGGTCACAACATTGTAACAACCAAAGGAGACAATATTCATCAAGTAGAAAAGGTCAAAGCATAGTAGTTGGGTTTCAATGTATATATATATATAGAGGGGAATCAACAGAGTACCTGTCCCGCTCCCAAAAGAGGATGATCGGTTTGACCTCCTATTGCCAATGAGCCAATCATCATCCTTGTTACTTCTCCAAGAGTTCCGAGACTAGTACAACATTGTAACAACCAAAGGAGACAACATTCATCAAATAGAAAAGGTCAAAGGATAGTAGTTGGGTTTCAATGTATGTGTAGAGAGATATCAACAGAGTACCTGCCTGTCCTCGCAACAGAGGATGATTGGTTTGACCTCCTATTGCCAATGAGCCAATCATCATCCTCGTTACTTTTCCAATAGTTCCGAGACTGGTTACTCATCTCTGAAATTCCTCCCACCTTGCCTGAATTAATCTTCATCATCCGAGTCTGATCAGCCCCAGTTTTGGGAACCCCTGAAACCTCTTTGCCCTCTTGAACCACCTTGGAACCCTCGATCCCTACTTAAAACAGCCCATAGTTTGCTCCTGATACCCTGTGTCATCTTGCAATGGCGGCAACTTCATGCAATCATGTGATGTAGTTTTTTTTTGGGTGAATCATTGTGATGTAGTTTATGATTTAGTAAGTCTTTCATAAGACCCCTATTATTAGGGATTGAGATCCCATGGAGATCCCGACAAAGAAATGCCAGATCATGATCCTGGAGCTGGATCACCACCTTAGATGGGAGATTGAGGTAACTATGGACGGAAGTTTGGGAGAGAACTAGCGCTTGAAGAGGTTTTCTACTGTTTCTGGAGTGCATGGAAAGCTAAGGGTAGTAGATGAGGTTCCCATATCTTTACACTTGTTGTACCATGGATGAAGAGATGGTATATGGTCTCTTTGTCTAGCTTGCACATTATGCACCAATATTGGAATTGGTAGCCCTCAGTTTTACCAGATGTTTTATTGTAAGTACATTAAATGAGGTCGCAAGCCATCCAAAGGCATATATATTTCTGGGGAGCTGATGCCCTGGCCTTTCAGAATGTTGATAGGCTACTCTTGGATCCCGTCAATTCTTTATAGAAAGACTTCACCGAAAATTTGGGCTTCAAATCATTCCATTTTCCCCATACCTTGCTATAAGTTGTTTGTCATGATTAGGACTGGGCACAACTTTCCTCTTCCTTTAGTTCCTGGAGCCCTTCATATTTGAGATTATGATGAAGTTTAGGATTCCGGGATTCTCCTCCCAATTCTTTCTAGTGCTTCTGCTATTCTGGATTCCGGTGAAATAGCTAGAGCTGCTGGATGTTATAGGGATGGGTGGCGAGTGTTTAGTGGCTCATTCTGAAGCCAAAAGTGCTTCCATATCTTGATTATATGTTCACACCTAACTTAAATAGAGTGTTTTATAAACTTTTTTAGAAAGTGTGTTTTATAAGCTTCTTTACACTGTATGTAGCTCTCCATGCCTCTCAATGCCCCACTGCTATTTTTCTGGTTGGATTGATGCACCATTCTGCGGTATCCAAGCTAGTCTTGTGTGACCATGGCCTTCCAAAGATGATCTTCCTTTTCTCCGACCCTCCAATGCCATTTGCTGGGTAAGGCTTCATTTGTTGTTCATATGGATGCCTAACTCTATTTCTTTTTTTGGGCTACAAATATGCTCCCATTTAACCAATTCAAACTTGAGTTAACCGGTTCTCAAAAAAAAACCAAGTCAAACTTGTTATGTGTTGCAATCCTCTCCAACAAATATCTCTTTCTAATTATTGTAATTTTTTGGCCACCTTCATGAAAATGCACTGAGAAATTTCAGAGGATGGCATTTATAAGCATAATTCGCCTTCCAACTGACAGATGTTGGGTCTTCTACACTAACCTTCGTTTGAATCTCTCAATCACTGCTTCCCACTGCAAGAATTGTGTTTTGCCTGCAAACAGAGGCAGTCTCATGTATTCAATTGCTGATTTTGTCACGCTCATGCAGCTGCTTTTTTGGAATTTGCTGATGTTTGTTGGTGCACATTTATCCCCAAAAGTTAGCGTCTTGTACATATTTATTTTTTGTCCAATGCCACTTCACAGCAACTAATGGATCCCCAAAGATTATCAACTTGATTGTTTGTTAGTTGACAGAATAAATGTGTCATCTGCAAATTGTAGATGTGATGTTGTTGCTGCATTCCATGGGCTTCTTCGCTCTTCTATATTCTCCTTCTAACATTCTACTAAATGCATTTACCACTATTGAAAAAAGAAATGGTGAATGGGGATCACCCTGCATAAGGCGACTGTTGCTTTGGAAAAAAAAAGAGGCTGATCATTTTATGAGCTATCGTAGTAGACTCTTAGCTGAGAAACTAGTTCAGAACTTCCAAACCCTACCAAACATTCACGAGATTGCTTCATCATGTTGAAGAGATTTCACTGTTGTCAATAGTTTTCTTGGTTTAATCCCTGAGTAAAGTAGCAGTCGGACTTCTGCCAAGAATAGACGTAATTCCAACATCAGCAATGGTTGGGTTTCTCTTTAGAGCTTAGTCAGTTTACTGATATTTTTTACTGTGTTTGTCCACCAGACAGCTCAACCACTAGAGTTTCTTCTAATGCCTATGAATCCCAGTTGATAACATCCTTTTGTTGCTAAATTGCTGTTGTCCCTTGCGAAAATGCTGATTGAGATTAATTATCCAAAGAAAATATGAAGATTCATTCGTTTCTATCCAAACTCTACATTGCTGGAAAGCTATGTTGCCTTAAAATAGCTCCTCCCATGTGCTAATTAGTGACAGCTTGCTTTATCACCAACATGAGCTGAGTTTGGATTCTCTCATGTGCTACAAACTGTCTCAAGATCTGCCAATATTTGTTCCACATTAATTTTCAATATCCTGCAAATTATACCTTTTTATGTCTACCTGCACAAAGATTGGCTAGGAAGCCAAAAATCTAAAGGAAGTAAGAGCAATCCATTGGAAAGATTGTGATCTCTGTGCGTGTGTGTGCGTGCGTGCGTGCATGCGTGTGTTTCTTCTTTTTTTTCTTTTTTTTATTTTTATGTTTTTTGTTGGGGTGTCAGTATGTGGGGTGGGGTGGGGGGGTGTCAAAAGATTCGGAGAAGCTTTGCCTAAATCACCGACTTTGTATGCATTTGCTTAACCAGAAGGGGAGGTACATATTGCAAAGTTTGCATTATTATCATTAAATGAATTAGAGTACATAAATCAAACATGAATAAATTATTTATTCTTTGTCAGGCGCTTAGTTTATTAAAGAGGAAAATTAAACATGAGCATTAATATAGCAATCTGTTTCAAGCCTGGCATCCCTTGTATACTGTCTTCGTAGTTCTTGTCATCAGGGATGCCTTTCTACTTTCTGAGAATGCATTGAGAGATCCCGGGTGGCCTGTGTTGTCTAGGAAATAATTATTTAGAGGTTTTGCATATGATATATAATTTTTTTTTTCTTTCATGAATCAGTGATGTATGAGGTATTATGAGGAACGTGTCTTAGCTTTTTGGTTCATCTATACATCTTGACGGGTTTCCATGGTCATTATCATTTGATATTAGATCATTGGCTTTGTGGCTGGGGAATCTCCACACATGAAGAGTGCAGGAGTAAAAGGACTAGCTCGTTTGGCTTATGAGTTCTCTGATCTCGTTGCTTCAGCTTCCCACTTACTTCCATCTGTATTCATACTTCTTCGTCAGAAAAATAGAGAAATAAACAAAGTAAGTAATTCCTTTGTCCATGCTCGGCATGAGGTTTTTGTAAGTAATTTCTTTAGCTCCATATGTTTGGCATTAGGTTTTTGTGGTGGTTGTGTGCATGCGTGCGTGTTTGTGCGTGCTTGCATGTGTCGTGTGTGTGTGAGACATTACTACTGCTGAGAGATTAGACAAAAATGAATTTGAATATTAATGTTTTTGTTTTAATTTCATATTCAATTCATTCAGTATTATTGTTATAGCTATTTATTTTTCTAACCTTTTCTTGTATTTGAGCTTTCTTCTTTGGTTAAGTTAAAACACCAGTATAGAAATTTCTATTTTATAATTCCCAATTTGATTTGCGTAATTAGTGTATAAAGCCCTTTTTCAAATCATATTAATTTTTTTCCCCTTTGTTTGCTCCTATTTCTTCTCCATAATGAAATGTGTTACGATTTTTGTTTTTAATTTTTTTGAAATTTTATCCGTGAATTTCTATAACAAGTCAAAAAAGGTTTTGAAGAGATTTTAGGGATGATTTTAGTGAGAGAAAAAGAGGGAGAGATTGTGGGAAATTTGGAAAAACTAGAAAGAGCTTTGAGAAATTTAGTAAGTCACATGCATGCACATGCACACACACATATAGGGAAAAGTTTACAAGGTGTCAACCTTCTTCTATAAAAATAATGTGCACCTCAAAAACTCAACTGAAAAGGTTGTACAACGCTGGAAACCTTCCAATTCATCATCTTGATCTCACGATTTGTGGATATAGTAAAAAGGAAAACATTACCTGCACCGTCTATTTTCAAAAAATTTATCGATCTGCACCATTTTTGGACCTTTAAATTTCATAATTAGGCCTAGAAATACATTATTAGTCCATCATAGGGTTTCTGAGGACTGCATCTTCCGGCAGAGTTTGGAGATGCGCTTCACTTTGATTATTTAAGGTTGAATTTTTATATAAATGGCACTCATATGTGTGTGGAAAAAGCTTGGTGCTTTTGCCCTCCCCACCCTCTCTCTCTCTTACACACACTCTCTCCTCTCCTTGTCCCTCTCCTCTCCTCCACTGGCTCTCTTTCTCCTCTCTGTAATCTGTGAATAGGGTAGACATGCCCGAGAGAGAGAGAGAGAGAGAGAGAGAGAGAGAGAGAGAGAGAGAGAGAGACGAACAACGACGAACGAGTGAGAGAGAGAGAGTAGAGAGAGTAGGTAGGGAGAGTAGAGTACGTAGAGGTAGGGGTGGGGGGGAGG